GTGTGTGTGTGTGTGTGTGTGTGTGTGTGTGTGTGTGTGTGTGTGTGCGCCCTCCTCCCAGGAAGTAGATTTGATCAGAGAGCAGGTGCAGCAGCTGATCTCTCTACCTATGTGGATGTGCCTCCTTCCAGTAAGATGTCGATCTATTACTCTTTTTTTTTTTCTTTTTTTTTTCCTGGTAGGTATTGGCACGCCCCAGTTAATGAAGCCGATTGATATTTTCATTTGTTTCTGTCACGTTGCAGTCCAGACTCCAGCACGAGCTTAAGAAAGTTCCAAAGCTGCAGAAGTTCTGGAATCTAATCAAGAAGAAATCTGAAAAGATGGATACCGATGCAGCTGAGCAGTAATATTGTTTTCTTCGCTTGGGTGTTCACTTCTATACAGACTAGAAAATTGTGTTGTGTGTCTGAGCTTTCTTTCTGATTTGCTTTATTTGTGTCTTCCTCAGGGCAAAGAAAGAGAGGGCCTTCCTCTCAGCTCTCATTAAAAAGTTTCTTGGAGTTCTCGTGTCAATTCCGCCGTCAGGTAAACAGTGAAAAATACAATTATTTCCCTTGAGATATCATATTGTTGTGTCCAACTACAAACAGAGTTAATTCAGAAAGAAGCATGACTCCTACATTTTGGTCTTGTTTTAATAAAAGAAAATGAGGCATCCCTGGTGTGGATTACTACCTTCAAATATTGAGTGAAGTCAATAACCCCAGGGGACTCTCCCTGCAGCTTTCGTCCCAAAGCAGGTCTTTGCATGTGCTGTCTCTATCTTTCCCAGCATGATTAATGTACGCAAGTGCTTCTCGAGCTTGCACAGTGTCAGAGAGCACATCTCTTCAGTCCAGGGCCTTATTGCCAGTATGAAACTCAATATTACCCTTTTTTTCCCTCACTGGTCCAGTTGCACTACTCCCTCCTTTCTTTCTGAGTTGTGCAGCTGCCGGGGCAGCGTGTGCTCCAGCTGCCACACAGCCACCGGCTCTGACTACTGTGTTGTAATGCAGGCCGACACCGAGGCCCCTCCACCTGAATGCTAAAAACAGAACATGTGTATTTGTGTGTTTAGGTAGAATTCAAGCCTGACAGAGCAGATTACAATCTAAAGCCCAGCAGGATCCACATCACTCTAATTCGTGCTGCACGCCTCAACTTTAAGCACACACACACACACACACACCAACATGTTTAATGAGGGCTGAGGTCCCAGCATGCTGCTGTGCTGGCAATGCACAGTGTCTCACAGTGAGGCTCACACACTCAGCATGGCACCTTGGTGTTGTCCACATGTGTTTGCCGTCCTGTTTGCTGCTGCCTCTAATTGAACCAGATTCAAGGATATTAATCAATTTCTGCATTTTACTTTACTACTGTATTTTATTTCGTACACTGCTTTTTAGTGTTCTAATGAGTGTTTTTAATATTTCAATCAACGTTCTTAATTGTTTTTAAATCTCCTTTTCTTTTCCCTCATGTTTTGATGCTTCTAATGGTTTTATGTGAAGCACTTTGAATGTTGAAATGTGCTATACAAATAAACTCGACTCATAACCTCAGTGAAAAGTACACAACCTCCTTTCCACTGCAGCTCATCATCTTTTTTGGCCTTGTATGTTCACATAGTCTCTCAGATTGCATTAGTCATTGACGCCATGCATTCCCCGAAAGGAAGTAAAGCGCTAACCTCCGTACTTTCCTCCTTCCTTTTCCATAGGGCCCGTATGCATGGACAAAGTACATTACTGCGAGAGATTCATCGAGCTCATGATTGATTTGGAGGTAAGGCATAAAGCTTGTCTCAGTTCTTTTTTTGCCATTTGTACTTCCTCTCTCCCTAGATTGGATTGCTCTATTTGAAATGTACACGGCAAGATGATGCACCCGATCTTCACACTGACTAAGCAGACGGTCATTTTCCACCGTGTATGTATGGTGTATTTGCTTAATCATGGTATCCTGTTGAAGGAAGCGGTGTAGACATCCGTCTCTGCAGAGCTCATTTGCCTTCTGTCCTTCAAACTTCTAGCTAACTCAGGTCCACAGACGGTGGCTGGATGTCCAGCCTCAGCTCCACCCTGTGCGTCTCTGTCACTGCTGTCTGCAAAGCTCTGCAGTATTTGAAACAGTAGTGTTTGGTTGGAGTATGAGCGGTTATTTTCAGCCTGATGGCTTTTGACATTTGGTATAAGGTGTAAGGAGTAATGTGCAGTGTCTGCTAGACAAAGGGGTTATGAATCATGCCAGTGTCTGAAGGAGTTGATAAACAGATGTTTGTTTTTTCTTATTCTATTAACAAAAACATGAGCCATATTTTCTTATTTGCAAATATATGTATTTTTACTTGTTGAGATTGGCTAATATGTGTCTGGACTCTAATGTAGGAACAGTGTCCTCTTAGATTAGATTGGCAATGTTGGTATAACCTGCGTCACTGCAGTGGACTTAAAAAGGTTTTAGTTATACGATATCGGCTCCTATACCACAGAGAGCAATGGTTGTAGTTGCTGTAGTTGACATGCAGGGGAGTATATATCTCAGTCACCTCAGTTACGGAGTAAGAGTTGTCACTTTCAGGGTGATAAAATAGCTTTTAGAGATAAGGAACTTCTATGAATTATCATCATTTTGGTTCATTTAAAAGAAATAGTTTGACACGGTGTTATTGGGAGGCAGCCTGGCCAATGAGGTTGGCTCTCTAAGGTGAAGACACAATGTCACATAAGATCGCTGCTGCTGCTGCCTGTGCAGATCTCCTGTTTCTAGCGAGCGAGCTCAATAGATTTCATCTGGCTGTCCTGCTGACAGGCCGGCCTTGCTGTTCCTGGCAGCGGCTAGTGGCCGGCCAGCTAACTGTCTCCAGAGACATCTCCTGTCCTTCAGCGCTATCCTTTTACAAAGCCTCAGTTGCCTGAAATCCATACTTCCCCTCTCTGATGAGGACCTGAAAATGAAAGCTCCCGGTTTTTAATGCCTCTTGTATGCCGGCTGTCAGAACCGCATTGAGATCAAAGATGGCTGTCGGATACAAAGGTATCCATTCTCTCTGCGTTTTTTCGGTACCGCTCGCAGCCCCTGCTGCCTTTGAAGAGCTGTTTTCAATGAATAAAATAATAGATATTTTGTTTTGTTGGTGTTATGCGTTTCAGTATTCCATTTCATATTCTATTTCACGATGCAGTTGCGGGCAGTTCTTCTCTTTCAGCCTTTATAATGTGATAGATTGAACCCCTTTCTGTTCGGTGTGCTGTCATCAACATGTACAGTAGTACAGTAGTACAGTATATTCCTACCAAAGCTATCTCATTTTGACAGCTGCTCTGTACTTTCCTTCATGTTAAGGTCTTCATCACATCTCGCTGCCAGTTTGCCTCTCTATCATATGTTTCAAGACAAGAAAAGACCATGGATCAATAAAACTTTTGGATAATTATGTTCCATATGCTGGGAAATGTGGTGGTTGTTGAGCCAATTGATTCTTTAGACCCCGGAGAGATGCCCGTTCATACAATACCTCATTTCCTAGTTATTTTGGTCCACTGAAGTAGCATTTGCCCCTACATATGTATGTTACCAAATGCAATCCAGTTAGCGTAAAGGTCGGGTATTTTAGCCACAGCCGTAAGCATGTCGTCCAAAGTTGTAAACATGTTGTCCTGTGTGTGTTTAGGCCCTGCTGCCCACCAGGCGTTGGTTCAATACCGTGTTGGATGACTCTCACTTGGTGGTCAGCTGCCACCTGTCCAGCCTCACCCATAGAGAGAAGGAGGGGCACCTCTTCTGCCAGGTACGACACACGAGCAAACACTCTGAGATCCTAATCCACCTTTGCTCTTGCTTCTCACATGTAGAAGTAACTTGTATCGTCTCTATTCTGTAGCTGCTGGACATGCTGAAGTTCTACACAGGCTTTGAGATCAATGACCAGACAGGAAACGCCCTGACGGGGAAAGAGATGACCACTCTGCACTATGACAGAATCCTCTCCTTACAGGTAAACGGCATACATGAGAGGGACAGGCAGACATGCAGGGGCATATTCTGTATGTAATGCCAAATTCTGGACTATTTGTCTTAAGGCAATGTGGTGTATGTAATAATGACTAATATATATTTTTTATAGTAGTGGACTGGTTTGTATTTGGACATCAGTCTGAGTGTTTTGCTCTTTGCTTTCCGTCTTCCAGAGGGCAGCTTTCGCTCACTTTCCAGAGCTGGAGGACTTTTCTCTGTCCAACGTAGCAGCAGTAGACACTCGGGAGTCCTTGACCAAACACTTTGGGCATCTCAGGTAAATCACAGCATCCGGAATGAATCGTGAACAAGTGCACTTGCAGCTTGTCAGTGCACAGATGGAGGGATGGGGAGGAAGGGTTATGCATGGTTGGACCGAGTACAATTACAGTGAACTGTTAATACTAAAATTCAGTTGCACCGGAGCGTTGTTTTAGAGAACGGGACTACTTCCTGATGTGTAAATGCTCTGCATATCAACCCAGGGATGGCTCTGCCTTTTTGCTTTTTACAATTCTGCCTCATCCACAAGTACCTACTGTATGTACTTAATGTCCTTAAGAGAGCACATCATCATTTGTCAGCAGATAATATATAATATACAGATCTGACTTCTGATTACCAAAACATACAAGCCCTCGTTAAAGCATAAGCACACATTCAGACTTCCTGTCTTGGTCCTATGTTGCAGAATAGCATCATCAGCATCGTTGCTGCCTGACTTCCCTGCTAAATGGCAGCTAGTGAGCCCTTGAACAGGCAGCTGGTACCAGCCAGAGAGAGAGAGGCACGCCTCATTAATTAAATTGATTTGCAGTGGCTTGAGAATGAACTCTCTTAACAGCTGTGTTTGTCAGATCGTATTAGCTTGCCAAAGAGCTAAAAAGCTGGCCTGTGTGTGGTTTTCTTAACTTGAACACATGCGTGAAGGGGAGTGAAAAGAACATTCAGTCATTGGTAATCTGTAATTACTTTGGCTTTCTAACTTTCTTGGTATTTTGATACTTTTAGAAGGTCTTTAAACCACCAATGTTTTGGCTGATTACTTATGTTTGTCTAGTATGTGACGTCATTGAGGTGCCCTGCTGGAACAACACAGATTTCCTCTTTGCAGTTGATGTGTTTATATCCATCACCTCTTTTTAACTTCTGTCGTGGATTATACATTCTTAAACCCCAAACTAAGTTTCTTTGAGCCAGGCAGAGGGTTATGAGCCGAGCTGAGCTGAATCAGGTAAAGACTTGAGCCATACCGTTTCGTGTATTTGTGGAAGCTCTGCTCCTTTCCCCAGAATTAGGGGTTTTGAATGAAGCAGTAACGGCATTGTTCCCTGCTCCACTACTGTCACCGAAGCAGCTCCTGGGTAACTCCGAATATGCCGATCAGATTTAACGAGGCACTTTTCATCCAAACAACTCGCGCTAATGCCAGTTTATTCCAGCTGCGCTACCCACAGGCTAAGCTCCCAGTCACCCGCCGCTCTGAATTTATCCGCTAAGTCCCCAAACACACAAACGCAGCATTATTGCTTAGTCTGCCCACACACACACACACACACACACACTTTCTTTCAGTTACATAAAACATGTAAGTTTGTGTGAGTGTCATTTCAGGCCAAAAAAAAAAAAAATGAATTGACTACATGATCAAAGAGTATGCGTCACTTTGTGAAATGATAGCAAAATTGAAGAGAGTCATCACATGTGAAAGTGCCCAAATAATGTGTGTAATTAGTTCTGTGGATTAGTTCTTCAGTGTGGGCCTCTCGTTGGAAAGGGAGTTTAGATTTTTATCAATTCCACTCATTTAATCCTTCCTATTCTGAGGATATTATGTGGCTAAAAGAAGAATATATGGTGGAAAGCATAAGCCACCTTCATTTTCAGGAGATTCAAGCAGCCGTGAAAGACATTTCTCGTAGTTTTTCTATTTGTCTAATTTTAAAAAAAAAACAACGGTTTGTCGGGCTTGTGCTGTTGTCTCGTGTTCTGGTTGTGTGGACACAAAAGCATCAAGCTATCTGAATGAAAGTGCCCATATCTGACCATGTCCTTCTCATTGCTAAGGTGCTGACACACAACCTTAATAAAGTCTCTGTGTGGTTCATCAAAAATGTGAGCAAGGGTCAAGACAGCCTGAACTAACTGTAGACTACTTTCTATTACGGGCCCATCCTTACCTTACCCTGCCAGTAGCTCAGCTGTCCGTCATGACCTGGACCGGTCATCTCCATTACTCAGAGTTAAGTTGTTGCACTGCGGTTATTTTTTTTTGCCATGGCAAGGAGAAGGAGTGTCCGCATGATCTACGCCGGGTCAGCTACTGGGCCACCAAACTGCAACATTGGCATAATTGCCACCTCACTGCCTGAGCGCGGCATCACAAGTAGCAGAATGCATGCACATACACGGATACAATCGGTCAGTGCCACGTGTGGCTGTCTGGGGCTGTCACAATGTGTCCGGGCCCTGCCCTTCGTTGTGTACCAGACCCTGCCTGTGTCACAGTGTGTCAGCCTGATTAAACCAGTTCTGTATGCAGAGAGCCATGCCTCAGCTTTCCGAGACGGGGACGGGCTTTGATTTTCCTAATCCTGTCGCATCAGTGCGCCCCGACCCCTTAACATACACACACGCTGACAGAGCAGAAATGAGTCAAAGCAAACAGAGAATTGCTTTGTGCAGCAGTGCTAACAAGCACAAAGAATTTGATAAGGCTGTGTATCTTCACGCATATAGTGGTGTTGCCGTCGTTATTTGAAGTATCTTTTTTTTCAGAGGGAGCGGTAGAGGCTGAACCGACACATTCTTTCCTTTTTGTAAATCTGATGCACTGAAGAAATGAAACATCATCTGAAAGTTGTTTTTTTGAATCATTCTAATATGAGTAGACATCAGAATGTCTCCGTCTCAATCTCTATCCTCTGGACAAGAGTGTTGGCTCAATGTATAATTCCCAAATGCAACCTTTCCAGCTGACGAACCACTTGTTTATCTCCTCTTTCTCCGTAGTCCCAACACGCTCCACCAGGTGGCCTCGTATCTGTGTCTGCTGCCAGAGCTGCCTGAAGGACAAGACACCACCAAAGACAAGGAGGTTCTCCTTGAGCTGCTGGTGAGTGCAGTCCTGGCTTTCATTAAAGGAGGGGTTAGAAAAGTAAATACCATGTTAAGTGTCTTTCATACAATGCAGGTATGAGGGCTTCACAGTGGGATTTAATGGATTATTAAGATAATTACATCTGGTACAGCACAATCTTGGATGGATCTGCAGACAGGCACCTGTGACATGTGGCTTGTGAACTTGGGAGAGCTTATCAAATATACAAACGAGGACCATTTTTAGCATATAATATGGTCTCATTGCTTTTCAGTACAATATTAAAATATTTATCCCAGACAATTTTTGTTGCTTCAGACATTTGCGTTGATTAGATGGAAATGGGAACGGAGCAATACTTCATGCACTATGTATTTGTCAACCGGCAATATAAAAGCTGCATAATTGGTATTGGTGCACCTTTTACAAACAATGTTAGTGAAGATATTTTCCAGAACAATAACTGGCCAGTCAGCGCTACGGCATAATAGGTTTTGTGTTTCTCATTTTAAAGTCATTCGTTTGAGCCCTTGACCTTGGAATACATGTAGTTTCCCCCTCTTCACATCCCGTCCCTCTTGAATTTGCCTTCTAATCCCATTACTGCTTTATGTGGGCATTTGTGTGACGGAGGGTAAATTGAAGACGGTGCCGATGAGATTGAGAGACTTTTTTTTTTTTTTTTCTTTAATTATCTCCTGAAAGGCTGGAGCTCGTTTGATTGTGTTTTCTGGTTCCTCGTCCCTTGCTCTCCCAATTTTCATTTTTTAAAACCCCCTCCGGGAAAACTACCGGCCCCGCATCCCGCTAGTCTCCCAAATACACACTCGCACATGTGCTCTAGACCGTTTCATCAAAGTGGGTGTTTCCAGGCTGTCCTGCGGTTACTCATAATTACCCACTCAGACCCTCCCCAGGTCCTCTCCGAGAAGCGATGGAGAAGAGCCGTTTCATAATTATCTGATTAGATTGATGCAGGAGACAATATGTCGGGGGACTCATTTGTTTGTGCCTGAGGTTGCCCCCAACAACCAACATCACTGACCCACTGAGTGGGTTTAAGAGGAAAGGGGCCCCAGGACCAGAAATCTGCAACACGGGAGCAAAATAATCATACTTGCTGCAGAGAAACATATTTATAAATATGTTTTGGGGATGAGAAAGCATTCTCTGTGAGAGGCAGCACCAATCTTTAGGCTAGTTTAGGCCGTTTACCTCCTCTGGTGGAACAGATGAGCTGGTTGGTATTCTCAAAGAAGCATCACTACCCTTGACATAGTAAATAATGAATGCTTCCCCAGAAGAGTAGGAATAGCAAAATGCCATAGCAGCACTGGTGCCTAAAGGTTAAACGATTTCTCGATTAGTTGAACAACAGAAAATGAAGCGAAAGCTATTTTGAGTATTGATTAAATGTTTCAGTTGTTTTCAGCTTCTCAAATTAGAGAATTTGTTTTATAAATTTGTAAACTAAATGTCTTGCGGGTTGTGGACTGAACGGATCACTGATAATGAAAGTAATTGTTAGTTTCAGCCCGAGTGTATGCATAAGAAAATAACCAGTGACATCATAACTGCTAAATTCTTTCAACATTCATACGTGTTGAACATCTTTTTCTAAAGTTAAAAAGATCAAATCATACCTGCATAATCCTTTGTTGCTATTGATTGAGTTCAAGGTGCGACGGTGGTTGCTGAACGGCCATCGAGACATCAACACATGTTAACAAATACGATGTCCTGGTTTGTTCAGCCCTTAACGTAGCCTTTACTTCAATGCTCATTTTCAAGCGCGCACATTTTAATACACACTGGCTAATAAGAAGCTTTAGTTCAGCCAGATGTTTACCGTGGGTGTGATGTAACAGATTTGATGAGGTACCTGATTTGGTGGAAATGTTTTTTCTTTATTTTCTGGTCCGTCTTCTAGTAAGCGAGACGGTAAAGGAACATTTCTTTATTAACCCAGTCTCTCTCTCTCTCTCTCTCTCTCTCTCTCTCTCTCAGGTGTCCCGTCATGAGCGCAGAATCTCTCAGATTGAGCAACTCAACCAGATGCCTCTTTATCCAACAGAGAAGATAATCTGGGATGAGAACATTGTCCCAACGGAGTACTACTCAGGCGAAGGTGTGTGTTGAATTGTGGGTCGTTTTTTGTGTCTGTATGAGTTAATGTGTGCTAGAGGCACACATCCTAATTCCAGTGACCTGTCAGTGCGTTATACACCCACACTCTCTCGGGGGGAGTCCTCTTCAGTTGGCAAGGACACCTTCAACAACACGCATACCACTGACCATTCCTGCAAAACCCCCTAAGCATATTACTTTAGCTGTAACATGAAGACATTCACTAAATTGTGTCGAGGCACCAATTTACATATTACTACATATAATATTGGTAATTTTGTAATTGCATAGAAATGGTGATGACCTTATATGGACGAATTGTAAGTCCGTGTGTGTAGTCACACACACTTTTGGATTATTGTTCACTCCCCTTGTCTGTTCATTCGTTTGTCTTTTCAGGCTGTCTAGCACTACCTAAGCTGAATCTCCAGTTCCTGACCCTCCATGACTACCTGTTGAGGAACTTCAACCTGTTTCGTCTTGAGTCCACCTATGAGATCAGGCAGGACATTGAGGATGTGGTGTGGCGCATGAAACCATGGTGAGATGTCCTCAATTCTGTAGACTGATGTCTTTGTCTCATACTCAAAGTCCTGATTTTGTACAATCAGTATTCTCACACACTGATTAGCGTCTCAGGTTTAAGTAGAACAAATGTCTACCATTAAATCCGCTGCAGCACACTTTGTCTTTTTACATCAATGAATGACGATTCGTATCCTCCATCTACCTCTCACGAGGTGGCCATGGCACATTGATCATATTTTATTAAAAGACTGACATTTTGGTACACCATATTTGGAACCCCGTCGCTTAACATACTACGTGCTCCCATTATGTCAAGTGATGTAGCAACTTGTTTGTTGTTCCTGCAAAAGTAAATAAGTCAGCAGTGGTGCCATGCGCTGCCCTAAATCCAACTGATTTCAATCTCGACAACAGCCCACAGCACCTGTCTAACGTCTTGTCGTGTCTGTCCCTCTATGCAGGCAATCGGAGTACGGTGGAGCGGTGTTCGGGGGCTGGGCCAGGATGGCTCAGATGATCACCTCTTTCTCCATAGTAGAGGTTGCCAAGCCCAATATTGGAGAGAGCTGGCCTTCCCGTGTGCGAGCTGACGTCACTGTTAACCTTAATGTGCAAGATCATATCAAGCACGAGTGGGAAGGTATTAGTGTGTTTTGTGTCTCTCCATCATTGGTAAATCATTTTGGCCAAATCTTTGACAGGTTTTAATCACTTTTAATATTTGTCTTTCCACCCTTAATATTGACCCTCTTGTGCCAATCTAGCTATAAAAATGAACAAAAAACAAAAGATTGATCCTCATACACCTTATAACTATTATAGATCACTACTCTCCTCTTTCATTTTCCCTTGCTACACCTTTTCCTTTCCTCTTCTCTCGCCACACACTCTATTCCATCCCACTGGGCCTTGACTGATGACCCTTACCTACCTCATGTCTCTAAAGGCATGTTATTTCTGCGTAGCCTGAGCCTCTTTGTTTTATTTTCTGATAGTTTTTCTCTTCATCTCTCTGTGTGGCCGATAACGGCACTGTAGATAATGTTAAGAAGAGCTTGTCAGCCTTGAAAGACATTGATTCACTGGGAACATAGAAAGTACAATAAAGCTTCCGGCAGGCCGACTACTATAGCTTTCCACAGAAAGTTATAGGATATGGATATGTACACACAAAAATGGTGTATTGCACAAATGAATGTAGAAAATAAATGCATGTTTTCAGTGGGCAGAAGAAAAAAAAGTACGCCTAATATCACAAATTGAAGTCTTCACTTTCTTTATACATTTTTTTATGGTTTTACTTTCTTTATTGTAATTCAGTGGAGGAGTGAAGTATTACTTCCTTCTATCCAGTAGCTCTTCCCCCATCGTATAATTAGAGCTTCATGTTTTAAAGATCAGGTGATTGCTGAGAGGGTGGTTTCTCGCATCTCCAAACTCCCCCACACCACTACTGTCTCACTCCCCCATTACTTCTTTCTCCCTGTGTCCTCTTTTCCTCTCTGTCTCTAAACCTCCCTTCTCTCTCTCTCTCTCTCTCTCTCTCTCTCTCTCTCTCTCTCTCTCTAACTCCTCTCTCCATCCTCTTACCACTATAGGGCTGCGGAAGCATGACGTTTGCTTTCTGATCACGGTGCGGCCCAACCTGCCCTACGGCACACGCTTCGACCGGCGCCAGCCCTTTGTGGAGCAGACTGGTCTGGCGTACGTGAGAGGCTGCGAGGTGCAGGGCATGCTGGATGACAAGGGGCGCGTCATTGAAGAAGGTACGCTCACTGCCTGCACACACACACACACACACGCCAGGGACACATGACATCCATCCACCCATCAGACCTTCTACATCCCTATTGACAGTACCTCGGTAGAGGGTCAGACGGGTGTCCGTCACAGTGAGACCCGACCTGTTCACATTAACATTCCATTAACCTGAGGTCGACAACAACACCTGAGAGCTCTGGGCCCTGCCCCCTGCTTTATCTATTAGATTTAACTGAAGAGCAGCATTGGCTGTAGATGTGCTTCTGTAAGAGAACACTGAGTGTGCTTGTCCTGCAGAAGTCAGTAATGGATCATAGAGGAAGCACCCGCCTCCATCTTTGAAACAAGGTAGAGCCGGCCACAATGTGTTCTAGCATTATTTGAGCATGCCATTTGATCTGTAAGATACCATATTTTGCTATTAAAAGCTTGAAAATTAGCTGTCATCAAATATAATAATCAGAGAGTCTGATTTGTGTGTGTGTGTGTGTGTGTGTGTGTGTGTGTGTGTGTGTGTGTCCACACTGGAGGAATCCCTGCAGATCAAATACAAAACCCCGGTCTTATGTTTATTCAGTAACATGATCTCTCCTGTTTATCGTGTTGTGTTCTTCCCCACAGCCCAAAGCAGCGCTCTGAGTGGTTGGTTTACCTAAGCTAGCCTGCAGCCCTGCTATTCTAAGTGTATGCCTTTTCCCCTGTGGGAACATGTGTCCATGCACTGAAGCACCCTTTCCCCTATCCTCTCCTCATCTGTTTGGATTAAATATGCAGAGGGCAGGGCTTTCTAAATAGACATGCTGCCAGGGAACATGCCCTGCCAGTGTCGGCTTGGTTAAACTTTTAGATCCCCAACAGAGCTAAGTAGTACTCTAGCTAACTGGGTGGTGGGTGAGACATGAATCACTGGGCTCTTGGTGAAGGTGAGATGTGTACTGAGACGTGCATTGAGGGACGCTGATAATTCGCTCACACGGTGTGTTGTAAAAACGGTTTTGCACCTTAAATACAGAATATTTGTGTAAAATATGACATTACAAACATCCAAATTCTGTGCAAATTATATAAACAAATGCAATGCATCTCTTTTAAAATCTAATTGTGTCTTGATTAAATTTCATCCTCACACACCTTGGACCAGCATTGTTAACTCATGGTATTAAGGGTGTAGCTTCCACTCTTAACCTATCCCCAGACTCATTTTAGTAAGGGGGATTTGATGATCCTCACATAGCTCTGCACATGTGCACACGGACAGGCGCACACATGAATGGACACACACATCGGAGGCAAAACAGGATTCCGTTTCACTCTCCTGCTCTGTGCCCAGCAGCTCCATACAATAATCTATTTAGCCATCTGTGAAAGCTGCACTTGCTGCACCACACAGGCTCCCTATGGGAGTAAGCCTAAAGCCGGTGACCTGTCAGTCAAGCAGCTATGTAATTCCTGTTCCTGAGTACTCCTGACTCCTCAGGAACAGGAATTACATAGATGTAAGCGAGGCAGGCTGGGTTGAGTTCTTTTTTTAAAGAGTTTTATTTTTTTGATGAAAGGATAGGATGGAAATTGTTATTGAAATCATGGTTTTAGAATTAGCTGATTAGATTCATTTTAAATATTTAATTTGTCCTTCAGAAGCTTTGCTCTGCCATTTTCTGTACTGGCATACATTCATGTCTTTATTTTTTTTACACTGAATAACACTTTTGATTTCCATACAAATTCCGATTTATTATTCATCTCTAAAGGTTATCGGTACTCAGTTGCTGTAACAAGTATTCTCCCCAACCACTCTGATTTAGGACCTGACCCAAAGCCTAAGCTGAGAGGAGATGCCAGAACATTCCGTGTGTGGCTGGACCCGAACCAGTACCAACAGGACATGACCAGCAGCATTCAGAGTGCCACTGAAGACCCATACGAGACTTTCAACATCATCATGAGACGCAAACCCAAGGAGAACAATTTCAAGGTTTGGAGTACACGCTGAAGCACAGAGAGCCGCCCTCACTCTACATCGTATTTGAGTACTTTATCTTCAGACCTTGAGCTCTGGTCCCACCAACACCACCCCAGAGTGATGTATTGCACATATAATACTCTCTTGGGTTTTGTAGCTGTAAGGTTGTGGCCAGGGCAACTCTGAGATTATTACCACCCACTCAAGGCTCCCCCCCAGTGAGTCCACTGAGAGACACACCACACTGGATGTTCATTTGCTATGTACCCCCCACTTCTCTCTCGCCTTTAAGAATCCCCCTGTGGCAGCGAGCCAACATTATCCAAAGCTTTCTGTAGGAAAGCAGAACCATGTTTTGTTCTCAGTATAACATACAGGTGTCTGCAGCAGAATCCTTCCGTTAAAGGTTAAGAGATCTATGATGATGTTAAAGTTTCCATTAGGTCATAGTAAAGTTATCCACGCAATCGTTTGAAACTTTTGTTTAATTTGTTGTTTTGCTCCATTTTTGGTAAACTTTGTTTTTATTCCGAATGTTAATCACGTACAAAACCCTTTTTTGCTCTTTATCACAGTCTTTTTTTCAGTTGAGAGCTTCTCATTACGGCTTTGTCAAACCTGCTATTTCTAATCCCGCACTAAACCCATTTCTGTCTTTCACAGCCAGAGCAGTGACAGATGATTTTGAAGTGTTTCCTTTTTTATAAATTTGAAAAGAGCAGGAACTAATGGGTATTCAAGAAACATTCTTCTCCATCTGTGATGTGTGACAGAGATAAAAGCAAACACGTTCCCTTCCCCAATGTTTGATGCTCAGGGTATTAGACAGTTTGCAGTTCATTAAAATATAATTGACAGACATACAAATTACCTGCTGTCCCATCAGCCCACCACAAAGCTATTCTTATCCAGCTAAACCTCCTCTTGTGGGATGGTTGTCTGTTGTCTCATGTCTCATTGCCCACATGTCTCTGTCTCTCTCTTTTAGGCCGTCTTGGAGACCATCAGAAACCTGATGAACACAGAGTGCGTTGTCCCAGACTGGCTTCACGACATCATCCTTGGCTACGGTGACCCAGGCAGTGCCCACTACTCCAAGATGCCGAATCAGATTTCCACATTGGACTTCAATGACACCTTTCTGTCCCTGGACCACTTGCGTTCGTGTTTCCCTGGTTACACCATACAGGTCACGGAGGAGAACCCTGAACTACAAGTCTTCCCTTTCAGGTGAAAGTCAAAGATCCGATAATCAAATGATAATAAGGTTTTGTTGAGGTTGACTCACCATGATCAAAGTAAATGGATATACATTCATATTTTATTTACTTGCTGTTGTATAATTTGAGATACAATTGTTTAAATATACATGTATTAATCCATCATCTTTCTTTTACCAGAATCAAGTTTCCCATCTCAAACAAAGCAGACAAAGGGAAGAAGAGAAAGGGGGATGATGAAGTGGAAAACAAAGAGGAAGACATGTCCTTGATCGTTGAGCCCTTTGTTACCCCCAACCGTGGCCCATATCCCTACAACCAGCCTAAACGGTGAGATGTCAGCGCCAATACTCGGGCCTTCCTGTTCACAATTTAACAAGATTAGGGCTCAAAAGGTTGTTCAGTGTTTGGTTGAACCTTGACTTCTCTACTTTAAATTGTTAACCTCCATCCAAAACACATTTTCAGGACAAAACAGCCCAGAGGTGTATTATATGTACCCTACTCTGGCCCTGACTATTTAGATTTGTTTGATTATCTTATCTCCACGGTATCCGCTCTGACTTGTCCGCCATGTAATGACGTGGTGCTATTTTGGTTGTTATTGTGCCTACCATAGATGGATGGAATTTTTTATGCAATTAAAGGTTAACAGAAAAGGCTTTAATATTCCTGTACTAATTAGAACACCACAAAATAATGACCCTTCATGAAAAACTAAAGATTCATCTGGTGGTGTTTCAGCATTTCCTGTTTGCACTTTGATATTTAAATCTGGATAGCGGTAACATGTCCACGGGGAAGCCCCGACTTAACAATCTTTAAAGATGGTCTCAAATAAACAACACAAAAGAACTTGCAGCTTTGAGCATCTCTTTAAAAAAAAACTAGTGGAAGCGTTTGAACACAAATGTGTTTATGCTCTCAAGGCTGTTCGCTGTCTCAGACTAATTATTAATATCCGAAATGTGCACGTCTTACAGGAATACAATCCAGTTCACTCCGACTCAGATTGAAGCCATTCGAGCCGGGATGCAGCCAGGACTCACGATGGTATGGACTTGTTTTTTGTTTATTGTATACGTTTCTCACATAAGTTTCAAGACTGAATGAAAGCTAAATAAAATGTATTATTATTATTAAAGCCACCCAAAGCAAATCTGCAAGATGTAAATACACTATTTGACATATACATTTCAACAGACTCCAACGAATCATGAGTAATTATAAGTAAGTAGTAATCATGGAATACTTAGTGACACTTTAGTGACACTATCTATTTTTCCTTTGAAGATTGATGGCAGTATTGAAATTAGCCGTTACCAGACACATTATATTTTCGGCTTGTCGGGTGAACGCGACATCTCAGGAACGCCAGGAGGGACTTTCCTCAAATTTGGCAGAAATTTATTCTACAAGTAACATGTTTATAGTAGTGGCCGTAATTGGGAGATCGGGCTGTATGATAAACCCATCCCCGTAAAATGATCATGCATATCCAGGAGTGTGATGCCGTTTGGGCAAAACCCTCTAGCCAGTCCAGTGAGTGCTGATACTGCAGATGCATACTGTTCCAGCTCGCTGGTATAAAGCCAAAGATTTGCAACTATCAATCTTAGTGATGTACACCAAGGGAATTCCCTCACCAGTAAATATTCTGTTGTCTGGTGCCCCTATGTCCATCACTCATGTAGAGGGATGACACATTTCCTTGAGACCCTCTCCGTAATTTTGACATTGCCAGTGAAATAGTCAACCACACATAAAAGGACACATTTTACAGCAATGTGGGGATACACCCAGTTCATACACACACCCACACACACCCATAGCTCATTTCAGCCTGCTGTTGTTATCTGAAGAGAAGTGTAACATACGCTGTTGTTGACAAAAGAGCTTTTCTGATCTGGTGATTTGAAGCTGGCAGCAGGGTCTGAGTTATTTATTGTGCAGCTAGCCGAGGTAAATATGGCGAGTAGGCTATCGGCAGGGTCGTAAAACAACTCTACATGCATGCCTCCTTCTCCTCAACCTTTATAACTTTCCTTCTTGGCATACGTCGTTCGTTAACAGCCATACCAAACACACACTATCAATCCGGCCTGCCCGGCCTGACTTTCATGTAGGGGAACCAAGGAGCTTGTTATCTTCTGATTTATGCAGGAATATCTAATGTGCTTACTACTTATGTTGAAATTACTCACCTGAGAAACCCATACTAAAACCAACCAGTTTCATGAATATTTATTTTGTAAATTAGATGCTATAAGTAAATATGAAGCTCATTATTATGGTAACCTATATACACAGATGAGGTGCTACTAGTACGAAAGGAGGACTCATCTGTGCAGTCAATGGGTTTTGTCATATCAGGCAACACCGCAGTCTTGTAACATTGTATATCTGAGCGCGGCTATCGATGGGGCACCAGACTAGCCCGTTCTGACATGCCCATGGCATAGCTATCGCAACCAATAGGGTGTCTCCATGGCAAGCTCCTTTGCACTGTGATCTAACTTCTGATTGTGCTTATTTCTTCTCGTCTTCTTCTTAACTTCCAGGTTGTTGGACCACCAGGTACCGGCAAGACGGATGTTGCTGTTCAGATCATCTCAAATCTCTATCACAACTTTCCTGAGCAGAGGACCCTCATAGTCACGCATTCAAACCAGGTTAACCCACCAAACACACAGCACACACCCAAACTGACTCAGCACATCCCCGGTGTGAAAAAGTTTCCCAACATCCTGCTCAAAAAGCAGTTAAGCTGTCTGGAGAATTTAGAGCTTGTACTCGGAACTGCCCATTAATCAGGCGATAGTTATATACAAACTATAGAGCAAAAACTTTAATTTTAAGCTCCCTTGTGACCCAGTCTTTTCCCCTTTAGTATTTAATCATTAAGTGATTTTCTGCTGTTTCACACCAGTGGAAGTTAGCCAAAAAGAATCTTGGTCACAAGAAGCATAGCTGGATATAACGATGAAAACCCTTTTTCTCCTCATGCAATGGTTCCATTTATACTCCTTATACAAGAATAAACACTTGCTTCATAGCATGATAAATGCTTTACTGCAGCACTGCAAACTTTTTGTTGCTGCTGTGTACATTCCTTATGATGCAAATTCAAAAAATGCTCTACAGGAATGCACAATTTTTTTTCTTTTGTTTGTCATGTTTTTTCTTGTGTTGCAAATGGGCTACAACTGCATTTTGTTTTGCATCCTTGTGTTGCATCATGCCAATAAATGATCCTCGAATTCTTGAATTGGATCAAATCTATAAAGAAGAGACAGAAGTTCAAAACAGGTTTATATCTGAAAGTACTGTTGATAGATGAGAAAATACACACACATGTCAAAGAAAGGATTTTCTGTGTCTGATCATGTTTACTCAATTCTCATTCATCCCACACCAGGCTTTGAACCAGCTGTTTGAAAAGATCATGGCTCTAGACATCGACGAGCGCCACCTCTTGCGTCTGGGCCACGGAGAAGAGGAGCTGGAGACTGAGAAGGACTTCAGCAGGTGAGGACAGCAGAGGACAAGCGGAGAGAGAACACACACAGATAGATGCACCTAAACAAACAGAAATGCACATGTGAAAAGAGAGTGCATTCAACAAATGGTTACAGACTTACAGTGCGTACATGCCACAGAGGCAACCCTTAAAGTTTTACCAAAACAGACAACACACACATGCATATGTACACAAAAGCAGCCCAGCTGCCCACACACATAATTCGGCTGAGCCAACAAAGTGACAGGGTTACTCGATGCTCTCGTATGCCCGGCCATGGTACTGGTTTATATTCATTAGCTATTGTTGGCCTCGCAGGCCTTTCAACCCGTGTAAGGGACCTACAGCCCTACACTCGGAGGCAATGCCTGTCTGATTAACCCTCTCATCACCACTCTGGACCACAAGAACTGATCTTGTAAGCATTTGTAGTAGGAGAATGGCAACAAGCTGTGTACGGAGACATAAGTAGATTCGCTATGATCGTGATTTTAGAAAAGTTTTTCACAGTTCTGGCTAAAAGTCAAACATAAGTATATATTTTTAAAACGTCCACCTGGACTTGAGGAGGAACTGATTAGAATTTGGGGGTCAATTTGGTGGTTTGATACAATAACAACGAGACCTAATAATCAAATTAATAAATACACAAATAAAAAAAGAAGGAATAGGAATTATTTTTATTTTTATTTTACCTTTATTTAGCTAGATAAGTCACAAAAATACATTAAAATATGTACAATATATTAAAAAGCTCATTTTCAACTCATTCCAGTGGCTTTTAGTTTTAACACTAGTTGTTTAAGAGTGTTCTTTGTCTACACCCAAATGGATACACAAACACACTTTCATGCTATGCTGTTATTTTTCATACAGTACAGGTGGCAGATCCCAGAACAAATGGCCTCAGACAAAAAACTCTAGAGTCCTGTTAGCCCCAGTAATTCCCTGTGTGTGTGTGTGTGTGTGTGTGTGTGTGTGTGTGTGTGTGTGTGT